GCGCGCTGACGACGCTCGTTCCTGCAATGTGGGCACCGACGGGAAGAGAGTCGTTGATGGTGTGATCCGCGTCTCTGTGGCGCACAAGAAAAAGAAGATCAATGGCAAGTGGGCGCGGCCCGCGCGCGTGCAACTGCCTCGCCGCCGCGTGCCAAACGGAGATGTGATATGCACAAGGGGTGGCGCGCAGGCCATCGATCGGATTTGGCGGCGCGTGCGCGAAATAATGGGGGCAGGCCGCTTGCGGTGAGCCAGCGCTCTTGGAATGACCGCGCTCGCTCTGCCCAGTGGTTTTCGGCATCGCAGGGCAAGATCTGTGGGAAAAAACTGGGCGCATGTTGGCTGAGTTGAACTCTAAGCCTTAGGTTCTCTCTTCGTTGCTGCGCTGTTGTTTCTGTCAGGCACCGTGACTGGCGCGGGCCCCGGCAGCTGCGTGAAATAAATGTTGGCTGAGTTGAACTCTAAGCCTTCGGTTCTCTTTTCGTTGCCGCGCCGTTGCTTCTGTCGGGCCCCGTGACTGGCGCGGGCCCCAGCAGCAGCACAAACGTCATGCACTCACTTCGTCGTGGACTCTGCATGTCGTCATATCCGAAATCCCAACCTCAATTCAGCATGATGACCACCAATCCGAAAACAGCCCATGCTGATAGTCAAGCGGTGATCACGTGAATGATGCAAAACGCGGTTGTGCACGACGCTGCGCAAGAGTGCCGGAGGGGGGTCTTGGGAGCCCCAACCCCCCACCCCAGCACACATATATATATATATACATATATATATATATATATATATATATATATATGTATATGTATATGAATATGTATATGTAAATGTATATGTAGATGTAGATGTAGATGTATATGTATATGTATATGTATATGTATGTATTTTTATATATATACACCAGGCGTGGCCGTTCTCGCATTCATGCAGGTATACTCGCACGCGGACTCATTCACGCTCAGACCCACTCGCGCTCAGACCCACCCGCGCTCAGTCCATCGTAAGTGGACCTATCGTCTTCGCTCGTGCCGTGTACCCCGCCACAAAAGCCGGCGCACCCCTCATGCGGTTCGTGGCCCACAGGGAGCGCCATCGAAACAGATATTCACAATTGCGGCACTCACACCTGCATATGGTTGGGTCCGTCGCTAAGTTAATTTTTCTATACAATTACCGTGCAACCACACGGAACATGCAATGAGGAACGAGCGGGCTTTCCTGGCAACGACGGGCTTGTGCCACAAACAGGTTCCACGACCTACTCGAGGGAGCGCCCCGCAATCCAACGCGGCCCCTAGTTCAGCGTTTTGAATGTACTGGGTCCATGGATTCCCCGAACTTTTTCAGCGGGGCCACTTTCTCATCCCGAGCCGTTTTTGTTGGCTGTCCTGGGGTCTGGCGAGGAACCCCCATAGGCCGAGAGCGGCCAAACGCTTCCCGACGGGATGCTTTGACGACTGGAGCCTATTTGGGGCAACGGCAGCAGGACGAGGCGCAGGGCGAGGGAGGAGGGCGGAGGAAAGACCAGAAAAGGAGAACGAAACGGAGGGAGAGAGGAGGAAACGAGGGGGAGGAGGACGACAAACTGGGCGAGCTCGCGCCACGGCTGGGTTCGCTCGCGACGCATCCGACATCATATCGCTCCCTCCCAACCACTCCCACTGCGCCGACTGTTTCTCAATCCGCGGACGTGTGTCATAGCCGACCTAGAATTCCAACATAAAGACCCCTGCGTTCTATGCGCAATCCGCAAAATGGGAACTGCGTGCATAGGAACAGGAGGAGGAAGACGGGAGGAGGAGGAGGAGGCGGAGCAGGAAGAGGAGGAGGAGGAGGCGGCGGGTGAGCAGGAGGATGAGCAGGAGGAAAATGAGGAGGATGCGGAAGAAGGAGGACGAGGACGAACAGCAACAGCAGGAATTGGAACGGAAGGCGCAGGAGGGGCAGGAGGACCAGGGGAAGGCGGGGGAGAGGAAATGAGGGGCGGCAGCGATGGGCAAGGGCTCGGATCCCGAAGAGTGGCCCACGCTGGGGCGAGAGCACCACTGTGAACGACGGGACACACGCGCCGATCCGATTTTCAGACATCGTTCTGAAGCGTTGCGGCGGGAACACCATTTTGAAACACCGAGAGCAATCGGATTGTCACGAAGCAGGCGAACACAGCTTCTGAAATAGTGCGTGCGGAGAAAAAGAAACAGTTCGCCGAGCGGGGCGGGATGCCCCAAAGGCGTTTTCCGGGGAAAGAGGAGAGTCGTGTTCATGTTGTGCATTTGCGGAGGAGGAGGAGAAGGGAGGAGGGGAGAGGAGGGGAGGCGAGGGGAGACGAGGGGAGGGGGAGGGAGAGGGGGAGGGATGGGGCTACGAGCGACGAGCTCCCCGTTGTCATGCCCAGATATGCCCGCGCCGTGACAGAAGCACGACGGGGGGCTTTTGGCCGCTCTCGCCCCCCGGTGCCCCCCGCAGGGCCCTGGACGGTCAAACCACCCAGCCCTGGGGAAAGGCTCGAGACGTCGGGGGAGCTTGCATTGAAACAGTCAGGACTTCGTACGTCTGTCAGGCGATCGCAAACATGAGTTAAGGGGGCGTGGATTAGCGACGGGTTCCGTTTCCATGGGAAATCGCGGATTTCCGCCGCCCAGCGAGGCGGCATTGGCCGCATTTTGGGGAGGGCACCTCCCCCGATCCATGGATTTGGCGACCGCGCGCCAAATCCATGGATCGCTAATCCATGTTCGCGCGACCCCGAGTCTGGTAGCCGTTTGCGTATTCATTGCTTTGCCGATCGGCGCGGGACCTCGCACCCCGCCCCCCCCCCACCTGGAGTACATCTTGACTGTTGGGCGCCTGTTTCGAGCAGGTGAAGTCTCCCCCATAGGACGCACTGCTGCAAACAGTCGCACTAAGCAGAGGTCCAGAGCCAGACCCCGCCACCCTCCCCCACTCCTTCCGCCCAATGCCCAATGCCGAAACGCCGAATAAGGAAACGTTCACCTGGATATGGCAGACGCGCTGCAGACAGACAGAGGCCCCGAGCGAGGAGCCCTCCCGCGCACCTTACGGCCCCTCCCCCGAGCGCCTCTCGGCGCCCAGCGCCCCGCGCTTCTCCCCTGATCGGAGTTTAGGAGACGGGGGTCAATGCAAACGGGGGTCAGCCAGGGCACCCGATCCTGCAGGCTCCTGCGAAGACCCCCTCTGGCTGACCCGGGTCTGGTTGACCCGGGTTAGCAGATCTCCGACCTGAGATCCGACGTCGCGAAAATCGGCCGTGAGGCCAGGGGGGAAGTGAGAAGGGGCGGGCCTTCGCAGAAGGATCGGAAGCCCCCTGGCCGTTTTAGAAGTTTTTTAGCCTCTCCCGAAGGCACCAAAAGCCTCGCAGAAGGCGCGAGGCGGCTTTGAGAAGTCCCGCCGCCTTTGAGAAGGCATTCTCCTTCTCGCTTCCCCCCCGCCCGCCGCCGAGAAAAAATGGGGACACCTCGGAGAATGCCCCGTCCTCCGTCGCGCGCTGCTCAATGGGGGGAGTGACCAGTGGTGTGGGGAGGAACGTGCACCCTTCGTGCCCCTATTGGGCTCCTTGGGGCTCGTTTTGATCCTTTTCGACTCCCGCAATAAAAATACACCATCACGACAAGTCTCGGTTCTCGCGATAAGTCTTGACCGACAGGGAAGCCTCGGCCCTCCGTTCTCGTCGGGTTGACCCAAAAGGGCGTCCAGCGACAAGGGGGTGGTGCAATCGATGTGTGGGGTTGCACTACTTTTGGGGCGTGCAATATCTTCCGGGGCGCAAATGTATTCCTGGAGTTTCGCGCGCAATCCGTTATTTGCAATACAATGCAATACAATTCTCTGGCGCAATACATTTGCAATACAACTTCCCAAATATATTGCACCACCCCCTTTCAGCTGGACCCCCTCTTGGGTCACTCAAAAGTGGATCCGTCGATCCATGAGATCTGACGTTGCGGAAACATTCCACCCGCGCGGCATGGTTCGAGCCGCATCGAGCTGCGTCGGTCTCAGGGCCCGACACGGAGCGAGCACGCCCAGCGCGAAAGATTGGGGCTCCTTGGCGCCTTTTTTAAGCCCTTTTGGGCCCCTCTCGGAGCCCTCTCGGGGCCCTCTCGCCCCTCCCCACCCGAGGCCTCGAGAGCTCCACGATTGCCCCGAGCGGCCGCCCGAGGCCCCCAAGAAGGTCCCAAGATACGCCCAAGAGGGACCCAGGCGTGTTTCAAGAAAGCCGCACGAGGGACGCCAGGATCCCGAGGATCCTCGGCGAGCCCTCTTCGGCCCGCTGGCGGCCACTGCTTGGGCACCCCGGCGGCTGCCGCGGCGGGGCCGCTGCGGAGCGGGGCCGAGCTCTGCCCAGGGACCTCGGCCCTGTCATGGCGCCAACATCGAAGAGCGGATTTCGTTCGGAAAACATTGGGCTGGGCCTGGATTGTCCTTGAGAATTGCGCTCCGGCTTTCGAAGTGAATTCGTGTGGATATTTGTTTGGCCAGAAATGAAGGCTGCAAAACATCCACGTGGAATTCACTTCGTTTTTCGCTCGCTGTTTCGGGGTCTTGCATCGGCAGGCATCCACACAAAAGTCCGCTGTAGCAGTGCAGTGAGCCCTGCCTCTTCGGCCCTCGCCCTCGACCCCAGGCCTCGGCGTGGGCGGCGCAAACACGGGGGTGGCGCGAGCGTGGTCCAGCGCCCGCCGCCCCGCGCTGCGCCCTCGGGTGTTGCCACGAGTGCCTCTGGCCCAAGGTGCCCCTCCCAAGAGGGTCAGGTCCCCTCCTAAAGGGTTAGGGGCCCTTTGATTGCTAATCATCCAATGTCACGTGCCCCGCACCGTCGCCATCTCCAGCTGTGCCCCCAGGATTTCCAAGGAGGCCCCACGGCCTCCAGAGCAGCCCCCACGAGGCCCAGGATGCCCCTGGGGCTTCAGAATTGAGCGAACAGCTGGGCACCTTGGGCCAGGGGTACCCCTGGCAACCCCCCACGCTCCCCCGAGGCCACGGCCGAGAAGGACCTCCAGGTGGCCGTCAAGGCACCGCCGGCGCGGCCGCCCGCCGAGGGGCCTCCGGCGGCATTCGGGCACGCCTACGCCGGGCCTGGGCGGCCTCTGGCAGCCGTTCCCAGGCCTGCTCGCGTCGTGGGCGTGCTCGTCGCTCGCAGCCCCCTCCCTCCCTCCCTCTAGGATCGAAAGAGAAAAAACGCCATAAGCATGAACTTTTGACGCTCCGCGCGGATTTCTTGGACATGCGCTGGGCCCCCCTGGCGGCGCCTCCGGCGCCGCTCCTGGCGCGCTCCGCGCCCCAAAGAGGGGGGTCCAGCGCAGATTCAAGAAATCCGCGCGCAGCGACACAACAAAATGTTTATGTGGTTTTTGTTTTTTCTTCTGCTTCTACTCCATCCCTCTCCCTTCGTCTCCCCTCGTCTCCACCCTCCCTCCTCCCTCTCCACCTCCCCCACCTCCGTGGCCATCTTGGCCCAAGGTTTTGAGGGTTCTCAGCAGACCCCGTGGATACCGCGTTTCCCCGGCCAGTGTTCAATCTCTCGGGAGATAGTCCGCCCTGCCTTCCTCTGTGGGCAGTTCGCATTGCTCATTGGTTCCGCCTGGGTGGTATAGCTCCGCGCTGCCACCTTGAGCTCACTCCCCCTCGTCACCACGACGTTGGCATGGTGCAGTGGGAGTATCAGAGTGGGTAGGGGATTCGTTCTCAGTTCGGCAAAGGGGGCGGAAAGCGCAAAGGATACTACACTGTGCCCAGTGCCCAGTGCAGGTACAGGTGGAATATCAAGTCAAGCCATGGGTGTAATGAAAGTGCGCAAGCCCCGATGTGGCCCGCACACCGGCGGCGCAGTGGATGATTGGGCGTTCCGTTCTCCCCGCGGAGCATTCGCCGTTGGCGGCAAAGGCGAATCCAAAGGTGCTACGAAAGGTCCAGGTCGCCCACCCAAGACAAAAACGAAGGCAACACCCACCAACCGTTCGTGGTCTTACTCGAGTCTGGGCTGGCATCCTCAGGTCAAGGAAGCCGACACCGTCGTTTTCCTACGTGCTAAGATCAGGTCCGATCAGGAACTCCTCACGCTCGTCGGCGCCGCAGTGCATGCTACGAGGGAGCAGTCTGCCAAGCCGCGTCCGCGATTCTTGGAGGGAGACATGCGCCCGAAGGGTACAGTCAAAACTCATAATAAGGACGCACGGATGTCCTTAGGGTATCCTTGCGTCCTTGCCTCTGCGGCCCATCCTTCGCGGTTTTCACTGGCCAGCCCGTCAGGATGTTGGCAGGCCGCCGCATAAAAAGCGCCAACTTCCGTCGTCCAAGGCCCTTGCGTTCTTACCGTCCGTCCTTGCAATAGATGATTTCGACTGTATTGCATGCCGCCGAGTTCGTTCACACCTCGGCATGTGCTCCGTCAAAGCCCTGGAGACGGAGGAACGGATTGCCGAAGCCCGCGAGGTTGAGAGCAAGGCTGCTGAATGAATGCATCGCACTCCGCTGGAATGCAAGAGTGCGTGCGCCCAGCACGCGGGCACGTCGACACCGACGACAGAACAAAATGACACCCGCTCCCATTTCGGGCAGCAATCTCACGGCTCTCCCCGAGGATGCAGGAAGTGAGTAACAACAGTTGTCAATCATCGATGGTTCCATGTTTGATCTCGAAGGGCTTGATCTGGAAGACGCAGAGAAGAGCCAGCTCGCCCATGCCGCGCAGACCGAGGTTGCCAAAGTTGTCGGCCCAACCTGAAGCAGACTTTCTCGCCGCTTGCAGAAGCCCTCCAGATCTCGCAGAGACTGTAGGCAAAGCGCAGGGAGGGCCTCGATGGAAGGGCCGCCGCAACAGCACCTTGTGGGCGACGCTGTCTTGTGGACGAGCTGTGGATCTCGAGGTCGCCGCTGTGGATCTCGAAAGAGGTGGCGGCGCAGTCGACGCCGATGTCTTGTTGGCAGCAAGTAGAGCCAAGGCCAAGCAGTCAGTCGAGAAACAGCGCAAAAGGTCAGCAGCAGCAAATTTAGCATGGCGAGGCCGTCGTCACATATTGAATGGGGTATCGAAGACGCCTACGGCGAATCACCGCCGCCCCCTGCCTTTTTGGAAGCGCCCATGTGGCCGAACGTTGAGGCCCGCCCTGCCAAGCTATCGGACCATGTGTTCCCCGAACCGGTTTGGAAAGCCTTCGGGGAACACGTGGGCATCTTGAAGGTCATCTTGGCCGCCTGGAGGTCATTTTGACCCTTCCAGGCCTTCTTGGAGAACGTCTTGGAGGGCTCTTGGGCCGTCTTGGAGGCCATCTTGAGCGTCTTGGAGGCCCTTTCGGCTGTCTTGGGGGCCTCTTGGGGCCGTCTTGGGCCTCTTGGGAGATCTTTGGGGGCACTTGGGCCGTCTCGGGCCGTCGGAAGGCCGAGCAAAAAGCAAATGCCACAATCCTTCAACAACTCATGGGAAATCAATGATTTTGACCTTTGCGGGCCTTCCCGGAGGCCCTCTTGGAGGCCTCTCGAGCCGTCTTGGGCCATCTTGGGGCCATCTTCGGCTGTTCGGAAGCCGTTTGGGGGGCCTCTCTGGGCCGACTTGGGGCCCTCTTGGAGTGCTCCAGGGCCGTCTTGGAGGCCATCTTCGGTGTCTTAAACGCCTCCTGGACCGTCTTGGGGGCCTCTTGGGGAGGTCTTGGGGGTCTCTTGGGCCGTTCTGGGGCCATCTTGGAGGCCTCTTGGGCGATCTGTGGGTGATCTTTGGGAGCTCTTGGGCCGTCTCGGGCCGTCGGAAGGCCAGAAAGAAGCAAATGCCACAATCCTTCAATAACCTAAGAAAAACAAATGTGTTGGGCCTTTTCTGGCCTTCCTGGAGGCCCTCTTGGAGGCCTCTTGGGCCGTCTTGGGCCAGCTTCGAGCCAACTTCGGCCGTCTTGGTGGGCTCCTGGCCCGTCTGACGCCGTCGGAAGCCGTTTGGGTGGCCTCTCTGGGCCGACTTGGGGCCCTCTTGGGGTGCTCCAGGGCCGCCTTAGAGGCCATCTTGGGCGTCTCGGAGGCCTCTTGGGTCGTCTTTGTGCCCTCTTGTAGCCGTCTTGGGGGCCCCTTGGGCAGTCCTGAGGCTATCTTGGAGGCCTCTGGGGCGCTGTGGAGGCGATCTTGGGGGCCTCTCGGGCCGTCTTGGGTCGTTGGAAAGCCGAAACGGAGCAAATACGAACAACCTGCAAAAACTTAAGGACAATCCATGAGTTTAGCCTCTTCGGGCCCTCCTGGAGGACCTCTCGGAGGCCTCTTGGGCCGTCTTGGAGGCCTCTTGGGCACCTCTTGGGCCGTCTTGGGCCGTCTTGGAGGTTTCTTGGGCGGACTTGGAGGCATCTCCTCCTCTCCTGGCCGTCTTGGAGGCCATCTTGGGCGAACTTGGAGGCCATCTTGGGCTAACGTAGCCATCTTGGAGGCGTCTGGGGCAGGAAACACCCTTTGCAGCCACCTCTGGGCAGGACCCCGGCAGGACGGGCCGACGCCCCAGGGGGAGCTCTTTTGGAAAAAGATCCAAAACCAAAACCGAGAGGATGGGGTATCCGAATGGCCTTCGGCCCATCCCGCCACCGTGCCTGGGTTCCTGGTCGGAAGCTTTTTGACCGACCGAGTGCCACTTGAGGCATGTTGTGTGCATGTGTGCATCAAGCGTTGCAGTATAAGTACCGTTTGATGCATGTCGTCTGCATGCTTCAAGTGCCCCAAGTGGTACCGAATGATTACCGCTTGAGGCATGTCGCCTGCGTGCCCCAAGTGGCACCAACCAAGTAGCACTTGAGGCATGTCGCCTGTACGCCCCAAGTGGCACGGCCACGTACCAATTGATGCATGTCCTCTGTATGCCTCAAGTGGTATAGGGCAAGGTCATGCCGTCTGTGCGCCTCACCTGTGTACCCAAAGTAGTTCCAGTCATGTCGGGAGTCTCTTGAAGAGATTGTTGGAGTCTCTGGGGGGCCGTCTTGGGGCCTCTTGAGGCCTCTTGCGGGCCCCTTGGGGTCTTTTCGGTGCTTCTTCGGGGCCAAATTGGGCCTCCTGGGGGCCTGTCGGGGCTTCCTGGGGCCTCCTTCAGGCGGAAAGCTTGGATGATCGGTTCGTGACCCCCCTCTTGGGCCCCTCTCGGGGGCCTCCTTGGAGCTTTGTTGCACCGTCTTCGGGGAGGGCGGAGGAAGGAGGTGGGGACGATGAATAGAGCATGGCGGCGAAGAGGGAGGACGACGACTACGACGGCGACGACGAACACGACGACGACGGCGACGAACGCGACGACGACCACGACGACGACAACGGCGACGATCAAAACCGCGGCGACTACGACGACGACTACACTGTCTATTACAAATGCCACTACGATTTCTACTGGTAATACCACTACTACTACTACTACTACTACTACTACTACTACTACTACTACTACTACTACTACTACTACTACTACTACTACTACTACTACTACTACTACTACTACTACTACTACTACTACTACTACTACTACTACTACTACTACTACTACTACTACTACTACTACTACTACTACTACTACTACTACTACTACTACTACTACTACTACTACTACTACTACTACTACTACTGCTACTGCTACTGCTACTACCACGACTATTACTACTACTACTACTATTACTACTACTACTACTACTACTACTGCTACTGCTACTACTGCTACTGCTACTACTACTACTACGACTACTACTACTTCTACTACTACTACTACTACTACTACTACTAGTATTACTACTGCTACTACTTCTATTAAGACTACTACTACTGGTACTAGTACTAGTAGTAGCACTACTACTACGACTACTACTACTACTACTACTACTACTACTACTTCGATTACTACTACTACTACTACTACTAACCCCCGCTACTTCTACTGCTGCTACTACTACTACTACTACTACTTCTACGACTACTACGACTACGACGACGACGACTACTACTACTACTACTATTACCACCACTACGACAACTAGTACCATTACCTATACGACGACCCTTTGGGTGAGAA